CAAGAATGCTACATTTCTTCTGTGGTCACACACTCCTTGGTGGTCCAGACAAACATTTATACCCACCTCAAATGAGAGTAGGAATCATAATAAATGAGTCTTTGCTATCACTAGCATTAAAGAACAAAAACAACCGGCATGGAAAATGAGCCTCTGAGGTCCACTAAGAAAAAAAAGAAGAAAATCTTGACCTTGCCCAAGCAGGAGTTAAACTCCATCAGTAAAAAAAAAACAAACAGATTTCAATGATGAAAAACGTTTCTTGTTACAATTCAGGTCCACAGGGAGGACATTGCACCACGTCTTTACTATGTCTACAAACCTCTGTGGTTTCTGAATAGAACTCAACAACACACCACTCGCTGCCTCATGGACGTTTCTTTTGTTTTTACCCTCCTCATGTTGTTCCCCCCAACAGATCACTGTGTTCATTACTATGATCTACGCAACACTAAGCAGCCAATCATGGTGTTTAAAGGCCACAGGAAAGCGGTGTCCTATGCCAAGTTTGTGAACGGAGAGGAGATCGTTTCTGCGTAAGTTGGAATCATCTTCAGATACATATACATGTTTTTTGTATTTTATTTTATTTTTACAGTAATGTCTAAGATGAATGTTTTACTCAAAGTTTGTTACCTGAGTGTTTTTGGTGCTGATAATTCCTCCAACTCCAACACTGTTCACAAATTAGAGGCTATGGTCATGCTTTTAGTATGTTTTTAAGTAGACATAATTAAGATTCTTTTTCTGGCATATATATTTATGGTTCACTTTTTGTTTCCTTCACTGATGACATCAACCCAAAACACTGGAAAGGCTGCTAATTCCTTTAATGATGCCTTTTCAGTTAATTATTAGCCTACAAATGTCGTACACTTGAACATTTACAGCCCAAGTTCATTTGAGTTCCATCTGCTGGCGTCATTAGTTTAGATCAAGCCTATAAAATCCAGCACACATTGTGTCCGAGCCCCGATCGGCCCCGACTAATCAGCTTTAATTACAGGGCCGACCCAAAGTAAGCCCGACATCTTTTAATTAAGATTTTACTGCTTTTGTTTTTGGCTTTAGTTTACTAACTTTCAGCTCCATTTTGTCGCTCGTTGTACCCGGTGAGTCAAGTACAAATCATCTGGGATGTGTGATTGATGGGAGCGGAGCAGAGTTGGGCTGCCTACCCATCTACTGTGCAGTGTGCTGCTGTTTTTGTTAGTCTAATTAGCCTATGTACCTTACCTTATTTCTGTCATAAACAGAGTAATCTGCCATTTCCTCTACTTGCACTATAAGTAGATTAGCAAAACTTTATGTTGTGCATCCTCGTTTGGTTTTCTCTGTCCTGTATGCATTGTAGCCTATTAAGCGCTCCACAGAAGCTCAATCCCAACTTGACCATCAAGAAAATAATTTGGACCTGACCCAGTCCAAATTTTGCATTTGAGTTGGGCTCAAGCCACAAATCTAAACTCGACGAGCCATCCATCCGTTTCTCCCTGGAATGCTAAGCTTTCTGTAGCTGATTATCACTTTTCACTGTTCAGAGGAAATGTGAGTTTCAATCAGTTGTAGAATGAGAATCAAGCCAGTAGTTAAACATTAAGAAAAAAAAACCGCAAATTGAAGTGTTTTAACTACTAAAAATGTTCCAGTTTATATTAATTTCACATATTACTTTGTTGTGATCTGCAGGTCGACAGACAGTCAGCTGAAGTTATGGAACGTCAACAAACCTCACTGCCTGCGCTCCTTCAAGGGTCACATCAACGAGAAGAACTTTGTTGGCTTGGCGTCCAATGGAGACTATGTTGCCTGTGGTAACAATTCACTCTAACGATTGACTATTTCTCTACAGAGCAAAAGATGTCAATTTAAGTATCACATTTTCTTTTTGGGTTTTTGTTTCTGTCACTAGGCAGCGAAAACAACTCTCTGTATCTGTACTACAAAGGACTTTCCAAGACGCTGTTGACATTCAAGTTTGACACAGTTAAGAGCGTCCTGGACAAGGACAAGAAGGAAGACGACACCAACGAGTTTGTCAGCGCCGTCTGCTGGAGGGCGCTGCCAGATGGAGTGAGTGACTGACGACACGGAAGAATCTTTTAGTTGCAGGGATTTTTGTGAAACTTGTTGTACTATGTAATCACTTAGTGAAAATGTTTTCTAAACATGTACTGAACTTGTCTCTAATATGTTTTTTGTTTGTTTGTTTTACAGGAGTCAAATGTTCTAATTGCTGCAAACAGTCAAGGAACAATCAAGGTTTGTGTTCAGAGCATTTTTGTGCTCCGCTTTCTTTTTACATCCTTAGGGAAATTTGAGACGTTCAGTGGAGCTGGGTACAGGGATTGAGCATTTAATTGTTTGTAGACAAAGTTTCATACATTTGCCTATAATTCCCAAATGGAAGTGCAAAGCAAACCAGACATTGACCAAAATTGAATGCATCACATTGCATTTGTTTTAGTTTTGTGTAATTGGAGTTGTATTAGCCCCATCTGAAGTACTTTCAGATGATGTTTGTTGGTGTATATAAACGTTTTGATGTATTTTTAATATAATATAATTAATAAAAACGTGACTTGTTTCCTGTCCTTATGCTGTAGTAGCATTGTAAAACCTTCACAGATGTTATGTAACAAATAAAACAAGTAACTCTGCGCTGCTTTTCTTTTCATAGGTGCTTGAGCTCGTCTGAAAATCTGACCGTCTCTATTGGACTTCAGAACTGCTTCCCTGTGTGGCCGAAGGACCAGATGGATGTAGGAAAATCTCAGGCTGCCTGCCGAGCACCAAGAGAGCTAAAGCAGTGAACTGATCTGCTCTTATTTTAATTTTAAATTTTAGTTTGGATTATTTTTCTCGGGCAGCAGGACAAACTCGGGACCAGTTCATCAGTAAAGTGGGTGATTCCTTTTTTTTTTTTTTTTTTGCAAAAAAAAAAGGACTGAATTTGAGGCAAAAAGCCAAAGGAAAGTTTTTTTTTTGTTTGTTTTTTTGTTGTTTGTCTTTTCCATTTGTCAGCATTATATTTAGTTCAGTAAAACACCTCTTTATTGTTTTAGGTCAAATCAAACTTTCTATTTTGTTTTTTAATCGAGCTTCTTTTTTCAGCGGCACATCCAGCTTAATGTTACCCGTTTGGTGCATTTTCTTTTAAAGGCCAAAGCACAAAACAGAACGGCTGCAGAAATGTCTTCAGAGAAAACTTTTACCCTATTACCCATCGTTGTTTAACTTTTTGTTTCTTTTGTTGTATGTAGTTTTTCTGTTTGCCAAATTGGTGAAAAAGCAGTTTTAATAAATATAACTTGAATTTCATCCACACGTTTGTCAAAAATCACAGCGAGCCTCGCCTTAATTTAAGGCGGCTTGCCTACGTGGAACTGGAATATTTGTTGTGTTCGGGCTGTTTGTTGCTTGATAAAAAAAAAATCATAACCTCACAGAATCGGTTTTAGTTCTTTTATAGTAGCAACAGAAACTTTCTTCACGTACTGTAGGCTTACAACCTATCACCTGAACTGAGCGGCACTGTAACTTGAGAACTGCTGTCGGTTTTTGTGGTGTGATAATCCATTAAGTCACATGGAGGGGATTGAAGAAGCACCACCAAGACCTGCCTATTTTATGACTGAGTGAGAGAGGTGTTTTTGTATTTGTATAACTGAATAAATTATTTCAGAACAACCTCTTTTTTTATTCCTTTGTTTACTTTTATTTTAATGGTGAGTGATCACCCTGGATCTGATCCTTCACCCAGTTTGTAACTTAACCATCCTGCAGTCCTGGCGCAGTCAAGAAGAGCGTGGCAGATATGCAACGGGAGAGTATTAGGCTAAATGTCTGAAGTACATACTGGGTTTGTAGAAAGATTTCTTAAGATTCCTGTGATAATGGTAAACACTGAGAGTTAATGTGTGGCTTCTGAATGGTTTTACTTCTCTTATCCAAACATTGGTTTTTGTAATTACGAGGAGGGTCTGCTGACTTTAGATCTGTAACTACCCAAATGAGGATTACTATGCAATACCCCCAAAATGGTTTCACCTCTATCTGTACTCCTTGGCATTTCACACAGAGATCGGGGCTTTTGTTACCTGCTGGGAAGAAATTTCTTTTGTGTCAGCTGCTGGATGTTTCTCTAAGCCAATTTCACACATAACTTGGAAAGTAGCTTGAAAATGAGCAGAGAATTAGGTTTTGACTTACTCTTCAGTTGCCCTTTTTTAAAAAAATATATATTTGATCACAACTTTCTAATCTAAAATCTATGTAGGTAAGTAAGTTTAATCAGATGGATTGCTCTTTGTTTTGAAAAACGCCTTTCGCCTCCCCACACACCAAAGTTAGTTTTGTGTGTGTGTGTGTGTGTGTGTGTGTGTGTGTGTGTGTGTGTGTTTTCCCAGTAATGTGTGCTTATAAGCAAATTCATGTTCCTTTAATGAAATTAACATTGTAGCAGACTTCCCATGCAGATGTGTGTTTATATAACAATCGTATAACAGCTGATCTCAGGTAATGTCAATCTCGTTAACTGCTGTTATCAGCTGGACTTCTGTTAAATTAAGTCACTCACTTTGAAAGGCGTGAATATTTATGCAATGATTAACTTAATCTCTTATTTGACCTCATTTTAAATAACTGACAGTAGTCTAAAAATATACTTTCACTTTGACATTAAATAGTATTTATTTTAAAATTATTTTGAGAATGTTTTTGTTTTTTTTTACTAGATTTAAAAAAAAAAGCCCTGAAAGAAGGTAAATAATTTCTCTGGTTGTCCAAGAAATTAAATTAAAACAGAATTAAACAACCTGGAATATTCTGATAAAAGTGACTTCAAGACAAAGTGTACAAGTTGGAAAACATAGAAGACGACATCAAAATGTGATTGTAATTGCAGGGTTTTTACAATACTTTTTAAAAAGCTTTATTTAGGTTTCATTTCTCTGCATTCGAGGTGAGCCAATGATCCCGGAACTTTCGTTTCCCGAGCACAGTCGGAATAGTTTAGCTGTCGGACTACGGACAACAAGCTAGTTAGCGGCCGTTGGAAACAAAACAGAGCGAGTTTTACTGATTCTTTATCAAACCTTCACTCTGTTTGGTCGGGTTCGTGGCTAAACGGCTCGTTTCCAGTTTCGACTGTTTGCCGTGCTCATACAAAAGCTCAAAGTCTGCTAGTAAAGATGGGGGTGCCGAAATTTTACCGCTGGATTTCTGAACGCTATCCTTGCCTCAGTGAAGTTGTCAAAGAACACAAGGTAGGAAAGCTTTTAGCTGTTTGCAGCGGCCCGAAACTTTTTAATCCACGTAGCTCCTCTGTGTTTTCTTTATCATTAAACGGCTCTTATTTCTCCAAACAATCCATAGTTTATGCATTATCTAAACACATTACAGACACAAGGTCATTAGCCACATTCCTTCACTAATTGTGAGCTGGTTTGGTAATGTCCTCGCACGGTTTGACTTAATATTAAAAATAATATTTTTAAAACTTGTAATTCGGATGTTAGTTGAGCAAGACGGTTCCAAACAACAACTCAGTCATTTGACATGTCTGACCGTAGTATCGCGATAGCAGCGGGCAACATAAAGTGGCAAAGGGCAAAACATGATAATAGCTTTAGGGTTTTGCTTAAATACTGCGCTGTGCTGCATTTGTGTAAACACAACTACTTGTTTGAGCTCACATTTCGTGGTAATGTGGTGTTACTTAAATCGCTCCACATCAGTGACTCAGCGCAGTATTTCAGTTTTTCTACTGTCGTTTCATCAGTGTTGTTCTTATTGCATCAGATAGTCTTCTATAAGTAAAAATGAAAAACCTTGACAGCTTTATTTTATACTTTAAAACATTACCCGCTAATCTTGATGGTAGTTATGGGTTTTGACTGGTGATCCTTGAAGAAAAACATCTACTGTAAAAGAAATTAAATAGTTAGAAAGTGGACACAGTCTGAAAAGTAACACACACCGACAGGGTCTTACACTTATAACCATGGAAAGATGTGCAAATATCACTTAAATTGTTTTATTGTTCCATTGAATTTTCCCCCAAAAAATGTCAATGTTAAATCCAGTCTAAGTTAAAATTCCAGTAGTGTTCAATAGACTGAAAATATAAAACTATACAGAAAGCCTCCCATGGTTGACTTGTCTTCCTCGACATTTCAGTCTTTGTGGATTTCTATAAAAATAAATGGAGATTTTTTTTCTTTTTTTTTGATTGGCATTCCCCTGTTGAATAATTGTGAGTCCTCGACCATCTTTCTTTAAATTGCTGCTGTAGATATAAGCAAGTTTAGATCAATTATACTTAAAATGCATGTTCTTTTGCCTTTGCAGTATGGAAAAGTGACTAAGAGAAATTGGCCTGTTTAGGTTAGGAGTATATTCACATCCAACATAAATACTATGGTATACATTACTGCTTTAAAATTCCTAGACATTTTTGATCAACTTGTAAAAAAAACAACTAAAGTACCAATTCCAAACATATATAATTTATCCTTTAAAAGACAAGTACTGAAAAAGCTGGATTTTTCTAAAAAATTTTCAGTATGATATTATGTCCCCGGCAATAAAATACATATTCATGCAACTTTCTTTGACAGTGTTTTTTTTTTTTTTTTTTAATCCATGAGCTACTGACTTAATATTTTCTTTCTACCTGCAGATTCCAGAATTTGACAACCTTTATCTGGACATGAATGGCATCATCCACCAGTGCTCTCACCCAAATGACGAAGACGTCCATTTTCGCATCTCCGAGGAGAAGATCTTTGCGGACATTTTCCACTACCTGGAGGTACTGTTTCGGATCATCAAGCCACGCAAGGTCTTCTTCATGGCTGTGGACGGTGTGGCACCAAGGGCAAAGATGAACCAGCAGAGAGGACGCAGATTCAGGTAGAAACAGACGAGGTCAATGCATGTAAACTGTATATTTTTGTTGTTTTTCTCGTTTGTTTGTTGTTGTTTTTTTGTTTGTATCTTTATTTTGATACAAATATAGATTATTCTCAGTTTATCTCATCTGAATAAGAAGAAACTACAGTTGCCTAAATAGAACAATTACCGCTTGTACTTTAAAGGTTAAATCCATCAAAGTACAAGCAGAGACTCAGCCTGTTATTGTTAGTCTGACTACTCTTTTTCTTTTGCGTCCAGGTCCGCCAAAGAAGCAGAGGAGAAGATTAAAAAGGCTCTGGATAAAGGAGAGGTTCTTCCAACAGAAGCTCGCTTCGACTCCAACTGTATCACTCCTGGTAGGTTTGGGCTAAAGCTCTTCTCACTGTGAACATTACTTATTTAAAAAAATCAAAAGTCATTTTCTGACTCATTGTCTTAATTTTGACTTGTTTTAAAACTTTTGTCATGTGTGATTCTTACCAATCTCGAACAATGTTCACTGTTTTTCTTCTAAACTTCTTCCAGGCACCGATTTTATGGCGAGACTACAGGAACAGCTCAAGTACTTTGTCCACAACAAGGTGTCTACAGACAAGCTGTGGCAAAACGTCAAAGTCTTCTTGTCGGGTCACGAGGTTCGTTTTGACTGCTGCTGAAATGTAAGGCTTAGCAATGGTTCGAGTTGACGTTGATGTTTCTGTTTTTTTTTTTTCTAGACACCGGGTGAAGGAGAACATAAGATCATGGAGTTTATCCGTTCCGAGAACGCCAAACCGAATCATGATCCCAACACCCGACACTGCCTGTATGGCCTGGATGCTGACCTGGTACGCTTCGAGTTGGTGTAAAAGCGAGGATGTACATTGCCTCTCAAACTCTTTTGAAGCTCATCTTGTCCCCTTTTTTTTTTTTTTTTTTCTTTGTAGATCATGTTGGGCTTAACCAGTCATGAGCATAATTTCTCCCTGCTCAGAGAGGAAGTCCGCTTTGGAGGAAAAAAATCCCAGAAAAGGTTCTTTTTTTTCTCCTTTCTGTATTGGTTTTCTGTTCTTTTGGGCTGTTGTGATCGAGTGTTTTAAGCCCAGCTCGTTTCTTCTCTTCCAGAATAACGGCTCCAGAGGAGACGACTTTCCACCTGCTTCATCTGTCTCTGATGAGGGAGTACATCGACTACGAGTTCTCAGAGCTGAAGGTGTGGCACACTTAAACACAAAGCTATCCAAATGGTACATTTACATGAAAAGTGACCACAAGTAATGTTTTCTTTAAATTTCATGTGATAGATTAACACAAAGTAGAAAGGAGATGGATAATTAGTTTTCAAATATATTCATTTCTTTATGTAGACATTTATTTTATGTTTATTTTTCGCGCATTTTCCATTGGGAAATAGCTCGTGTTCAGTCAGGTTGGATGGAGAGTGACTTTCTAATCTTGACTTTGACTGGGCCATTTTATCACATGATTATGCTTTGACACGTTTCAATTTTTTGAGAGATGATTGAAGTGTGAAAAATGTTCCAAGGCTACAAATAGTGCTGCATGCAGAGGAAGATCTATTCATCTATTGAAGTACACTCTATACTCGTTGTAATCTATGCTCTTGTGTCTGTGACTGTTTTTCAGCGTCATCTGGGTTCTGATTATGATCTGGAGCGAATAATAGACGACTGGATATTAATGGGGTTCCTCGTAGGAAACGATTTCATCCCTCACCTCCCTCATCTTCACATTAATCATGATGCTTTGCCGCTGCTGTACAAAACTTACGTCAGCGTACTGCCCAGCTTGGGGGGTGAGGCACTAACACACAAACATGCACACCCACATAGTTATATTACATCATACATGTTTGACTGCATGTGTCTGTCCAGTTCATATGTGTGTAGCTTTAATTTCTGTCTGTTCTGTTCTGTTCTGTTCACACCGACCTCAGAATGTAGCAAGATGCTTTCTTTATCTCGTAGGTCATGATGACTGTTCATTGATTAAAACAGAAATCTCTTCATAACTGCAGGTTACCTGAATGAGAACGGCTACTTAAACCTCAGAAATTTTGAGAAATACCTGGAGAAACTTTCTGAGGTAAGACAGTCGTCAAAAAGTTGCCTTTAGTTCCTTTTTTTTTTTTTTTTCTTCCTCATATCTTTATTTTTTCCTCCTTCCTTCCTTAAGTCCTACCCTTCTTGCGTCCTTGTGTCCTTCCTTCCTTTCTCCCTCATATCTTTACATTTTTTGTGCCCTTACTTTGTTGCATATTTGTGTCTTTCTTAACGTCCTTCCATCGTGTTTTCATTCCATCCTTGCTTTGTCCTAGCTTCCTACCTACCTTCCTTGTTTCCTTCCCCCCTCAATTATTCCTTCATTTTTGCTTCTGTCCTTCCTTCATTCTATTCCTCCTCCCTTTCTTTACATGTCCTTTTTTCTCTTTTTATTCATGAAAAATGTGAAGGAATCTTGAGTAATCTTTTTCCCATCGCTCCTCTGAATCCTCCTAGTTTGACCGGGAACACTTTAGCGAGGTATTTGTAGACTTGAAGTGGTTCGAGAGTAAAGTCGGCAACAAATATCTGAACGAGTCGGCCGGTCTGGCAGCCGAGCAGGAAGCGGCGATCCAAGCCGGGAGAAAGACGGAGGTAGGAAAGCAAATATCTGAACGATATTTCAATTTAAAGAAACTGCCATGTTTGATTCTTAGCTTGGGTAATTTTGAAAATTGTTCTTTTAATATTCACTCCAAATTGTCGTTTCTAATAAATTAAAGGACTCTTCTATTCATCTCACCACCTTGACCTCATCGGAAAAAGTGACTGAACAAGAAAAAGACGACGTGGCAGATGAGGAGGAGGAGGAAGATGAGATGTTTGAAACAGAGTTCAGACAATACAAACGGACGTACTATATGACCAAGATGGGCGTAGATGTGGTGTCTGAGTGAGTGTCATTCAAATAATTCACCATTTAATAGTTGGCGAGGACGATTTTTCTTTTTAGAAACATACGTCCATCTCTGTGCGTTTGTTCTAATATATGATAGTTATGTTTCACGCTTCTAAGAATGGACTGGTTTTAGCTTTCAGATTATTTCCCTTCAGGAGCTTGTTGGTTGTAGCTAAATTACAGAGCGGCTTGTCTTGTGTAGGTGTCTCCAAACACACCTGCTATTGTTTTTTGTTCTTTTTTGTTTTTGTTTTTTTTATGCTGGCTCAGCAGCACAAAGTGCCAGAGGGTTGAGCAGAGTGAAAATATGTATCAGAGGTGGCAGCATTTGATAACTGCATCCAGTCACATGACCGACTCTAATGTTTTGGAGGAAAGGTTGTGCAACCAGTTTAAACAGATTCTTCTGGAAACTATGAAGCTGGGATTTGATGCAAAAGAATAGAGTTTAAAAATAAGAATTTGGGCAAATTATTGAGTTTCAAGATTTTTATTTTTATTTTTTTTTAGTTTCTCATGACAAAAACGTACAAATTGAACTTTGTGCCATTTCACTACTTGCTTGTGAATTAGACCTTCTTACTCCAGGGTTTTAGTTCAGTGTGGTTTAGATGCTAAATAGCATTAAAGAATTATTTATTGTCGAATACATCAGGCTTTTTTAGATTATTTTAAAGCTCTAAGGCTCATCAATCAGATCTAAACTCATGGTGTCCATACATCCTTAATAAGTCTTAAATGTATGTATACAAAATTAAGGCCTTCAAATATCTTGAATTTATTTTTAAAATTAATTAAAGACATTTTAATGTCTTGAATTTAGACCTGTGATTAATATGTTGATCGCAGGTCTTAAATTCTGTTAATAATGGTCCTAAAGAAGTCTTAAAAAGTCTTAAATTTTAAGTTGTACTGAAAAAAATAGTCCAAGCTAATTCTGAATTGAAAGCCACTTTCATCATTGTGCTTTTTCACGATTTGTGGAATAGACCGGTAATAAAACCCAAACACAACAGCTTCCTGTGTGGCAGCTTCCTTTTAAATGGAGCAAAGAGCTCTGCGTTTCCTCTTATTGACAAAATAAATTACGAGGCACTATTTAAGCACAGGCAGTTAGTGACACCATGAACATCGGTGGCTGTCAGCAGTTCTTCTTTGTTCAGATTATTCTTGCCCACCTGAACGTGGAAAAATCTCAATGTCGGCTGCGTGCCACCTTAAACTAGCGCAGCATGTCATCTGTGACTGGCACAGGTGGACCTGAGCGACAAACCCAACGTCAATCACTGATCACTTCACCAGTTTTCATCTTTTGATTTGCGTTTTGATTCCACTTATTTGCAGTGAATTTCTCGCCAAGCAAGCCAAGTGCTACGTGGAAGGCATCCAGTGGATTCTTCACTACTACTACCATGGTGTTCAGTCGTGGAGCTGGTGAGTGCATCTCCCATATAGCGAGGGTTGCTACAGCAACTACTCGCTCTTTGGTATTTCTAACCCAGGTTTGAGTTTCACTGACATCCCATCGCCTTTTGGAAACGGATCTCACTTTCATTTTGGAATCGAGCTTTAAATAACACGTGCACACCTCTGCAGGTACTACCCTTTCCACTACGCCCCGTTTCTGTCGGACATCCGAAACATATCAGAGTTGAAGCTGACCTTTGACCTCGGGAAACCCTTCATGCCTTTCCAGCAGCTGTTGGCTGTCCTGCCTGCTGCCAGCAAGGAGCTGCTCCCAGAGGGCTACAGGGTAACTCCTCAAACACCAACACACAGTCTGTCGACATGCTCAGAGGCGCACCGTGTGGACGTATGAAGGAACTACACTTATTCACCTTTTTACCCACTGATTGGCTATGGGGCAAGGAGAAATGCAAAGGTTTTCACAGAGTTGGCACAGGGAAACATTAATGAAACCGAAGCGAGACTATAATAATATTTAGAATATAACTGTGACATTTACAACTCAGCTTTCTGAATTAGTCGCAGACGGGCATGTTATAATTAATAAGTCAGATGTTCAGGCGCAAACATTTCCCCCAAAACTTACAGAACACCACACCCATGAAATGCCTCGTGCAATAGTCCTTATAGAGAAGAAAAAAAAAAAGCTCCCTGACGTAAGTTTTCCTTTGAGGTTTTTCACTTTAAAGTTCCTTCACAAGTGTTTCGAAATAACATTGGACCCAAAATAATGCAGCCTTGGTGTTTAAACTGACACAAGAGAACAGGATGTTGCATCATATTCTCCCCCAGGTCTGGTGCATATTCCACCAAAAATGCTCCTGTCAGCGTGTGGCGATGAATCACAGAGAAATCCTTGTCCTCGTTCTCGTCACGGCTGAAACGCAAAACTTTCTCATGAAGACTATAAATTAAACTTCTTGCTGGAAACTTTGAAGTTTTGCTTAGTGACGGCTCAGCCTTTTATTTTATTTAATCTTTTTTTGTCAGGATGGTCTGTGTTCCAAATAATAAGCCCAGTGGATCATATATGAAGAAATATGCGAACAAAACATTTTATTTTATGTTTATTTACTTGTTCATTTATTACCGTTTCACACAGATTATTTTAGCATATGTCACACAGTAACGGAGAGAACCGAACTAAAAGTATTGTGGATTTACCGAGGTTTTTGTGTCCTTTGAAGATGTCTCCCATTTGATGGATTACAGGCTCAGCAATTAATAACGTTTAAAAAGTATTTTTCATTTTTAAATTTTTTTCTTACTAAAAACCTTTTCATTCATCCACGATACAGATGTTGTTTTTTTTGTGGCTTCCATGTTTGAAGTCTGAACCCTGCAGGAAATGCCTGATGTCCTGCTGGGAAGGGCTTGGAACCCGTCGATAACTGCTTGCAGTTCTAGTGATTTTTTTGTAATTATAGTATAAAAATGGCCAAAAGAAAGTATGGAACAGTAAAGTAGGAAATTCAGATATTAATCTGTCCTTATTATTTATTAGGACTTGATGACCAGTCCAAACTCTCCCATTATCGAATACTATCCTCTTGACTTCAAAACTGACCTCAATGGAAAGCAGCAGGAGTGGGAAGCTGTGGTGCTCATTCCGTTCATAGACGAGGTACACACACACACACACACACACACACACACACACACACACAGAACTTGAGGCCATTAGTCAAACTTATTAACTTGTCTGTCTGTGAAAAAGACGTGCCTTTTAGCAGCTATGGAGCCTTTCAGTTCCAAACTGACGAAGGAGGAGAAGGCCAGGAACCGGCACTCAGAGTGCGCCATGTACTCCTACGACCCAGACACGGACTTCACATTCGCCTCCTCCCTGCCGAAGCTCTTCCCAAACATCATCCATTGTCACGCTAGGTAGATTTACGCATTTTATCCTCGGAGCTTCTGAAAAAGGTCACAGCTGAACACCTTTCAAGGGCATTCAGAAAACTTCTGCTCTGTGACTCTGAGTTTCTTCGGCTGTTCCAGGGAAGTCCAGATCCCCATGGACGCCTGGCATGTGCCGTCAGACCACGTCAGCAAGCGCGTCGACCGCTCCAATTTATACTTCTGCGGTTTCCCCACTCTGCACCACATCAAGCACAAGGTGGGGGAGCCTATTGACGTTTATCACAGTCTAGAGTTACTTCAGCTCAAATTTAGCATTTATCTGAGGTTCCATAAAGAAGGGTTTGTTTCAGTTTCATTCAGCTTTGAGAGAAATATTTAAACTCTGCAAGTATGACATGCTCGATCCAGGTTTTGAATTCTTTTTCTTTTGCATTTCTGACATTTTCTCATTCACTGCCTGTAGTTTTATAAGAAGAAGAGCGGAGTGGTCGTGTTCCAGCAGAGCAGCAGAGGAGAAAACATGATTCTGGACATCCTTCCCAGTCAGGACGGGGAAACGGTGAGCATTTGTTTTTGTAATCCCAAACTGATCACTGCTAAGAACAGAAATCGAACCACTGTTTTTTTTTTTTTTTTTTTTTCCCTTCTCTATTTCTTTAGATATGGGATCATGTAGCTGCAGACCTTTTGGGGAAGCCTGTGTTTGTCAACTGGCCCCATCTAGAGGAAGCTCGTGTTATTGCGGTATCGGACGGAGAAACCAAGTGAGAATTTTGACATCCCGAAAATGCATTTTTAGACGCCTCCTCTCCTCAATTGCACTCCTCATTTATCTTTTGGTAAATTTCAAATTCAAATCTGTAAAAGCAACCAAAATTTGCAACCCGTCTTTCAGATTTGCTCTAGAGGAACCTCCTGGAGTCCAACAAGTATACGACAGGCCGTCCAGTCCTCCACCCACTAAAGTGTCTTATCTATCTGACAAAGAGCAGAAGGACTGGGTGAAGGACGTCCAAGGAATCACTGAACAGTAATTTGTGCTTACCAATAAAGCAGAATGATTCTTTTTGTCTGCCTCAGATTAAAGTTTTGTTGTTGTTTTTTTTTCTCAGTTTCTTCAAGAGGAAAGGCATCGCAGTGAACGAGACAACCGTGCTTTTGTACGGTCAGATGCTGACAGGAAGGAAGTACGTCCCTAAAGCCTGTGGAGTGGTGGAGCTGGAGAAACAGTGGGCCAAACAGGTTCTCCCATTCGCCTACCAGACTGTGGTTAAGGTACCTGCATACAAACTCAGTGAAATAACGCGCCAGTCAGAACCGAGGGAACAGTTGTAGTTAAAAGTAAACATTTTTTTATCCTACTTGTGCAGGAATTTAGTTCAGACCAAAGCTGTTCAGTGGACGATGCTGCAAGGCGTCATATGTTAAACTCCCCACAAATATTTTTTCTAAGAAGTAGAGATATCCTTTTCAGGACTTTTTGCTCTTGATAGCAGTCATTTAGGGTTTGCTGAGGTTTACTCTTTATTCAGTTTTCGAATAGAACATGGACGTCAAATTCATGTAGCCTGTAAATACCGTCAGCTCTCCCCTCATTCTCAGGACATCAAGGCCTTTTACTCGTCTCTGACCTGCTTTAAGAGTTTGGATGAACTTTTCCCTCCATCAACGACAGTCTTCATGGTGGGAAGCCCTTACTATGGTGCCATGGGAGAGGTGAGTCGTCAGCCTCTAAGGGATCGGATCATCGATCTGCCCCAAGTTCTGCTTCGGTATTTGGCCAAAAAAAACAAAACAAAAAAAAAAAAAAAAAAGCTAACAGCCTATAAAAATAAACCATAAAATCCAATTACTATGTTTTTCCCCCATTACTTTAGATCTTTGAGGTAAACTGAAGTTCAGCTTGTTTAAATCACAATCTCTCTAATCTCTAAGTTTCTCTTTAATGATGCTAGTTGGGTAGAATCGGTCGCATTAACACCAGCTGCTCTTTAAACTTTTCTTTCAGGTTCAAGACTCTCAAGACGTCATCAAAGACGGTCGGATACGGGTGGTTTTCAGCGTGCCTCACGAGCCGCAGCTGGAGCACTTGATCCAGAATCAGCATGTAAGACCCCGTTCCTGTTGAAGACGCGTCGCTTTAAATCACAGAACGAGCGTCCGTCCTCATTTGTTTGTGTGAATTTTCCCCAGAAATACTCAGTCAAGTACTGCCCAGGCTACGTCCTGGCTTCCCGCCTCGGCGTCAGCAGCTATCTCGTCTCCCGCTTCTCGGGAAGCATCTTCATCGGCCGAGGCTCCAAGAAGAAGTTTGTGTCCGAATGCTCGTTGGTTGGCTTCAAATGCAGATCTTTGTTCTTGTGCTGAGCATGCTTTTACACATCTTCACTGTGTTCAGTCCGTGCGGGGAGCAAAGAGCTAACGTTGGGCTCAACCTGAAGTTCAACAAGAAGAACGAGGAGGTTCCCGGGTACACCAAGAGAACGGAGAAAGAGTGGCTCTACTCTGCTGCCGTGGAGGAGCTGCTTGCTGAATACCTGGACAGGTACAATCTTTCTCTGCTGCTAAGTTTTCTCTAGTCCAAGCTCCTGGCTGCAGGCCTCGATTCTATGGCGCGTTTAGATTGGCTCCACCTATTGGTCGGCTCCATTCTGTGCAGTCATGCCGCATAAAGCATCTGTTTTCATGTCAGATTTATCGGGTTGTAAAAGTTTTTTAAAATTAGCGAGTGCCTGCGAAGGTGAATTGCGTCGAAAGGCAATTCTTTATTTCAACATTTCTGTTTTTTCTATCTTCATAGATTTTCAGAAGTTTTCGATGCAGTGTCCAGAAACAGTCACGACGACGTGTTCTACGAAGACGACATCTGGCCGGGAGAGGATCAGAACGGGTGAGGACAAGGAAAACATTCGGACCTGACAAACGAGACATTTAGAGAGTTGAACATCTCCCTTCTCTGTCCCAAAAAACACTTGATGCACGGCCACAAATAACATTTCTTTCTTAACTCCCTCATGTTTTCATTATTTGCCTTCCTTTCACAGGGCGGAGAAGGTGGCTGAAATCACCTCGTGGTTGAAGAGTCATCCAGTCAGCTCCACCAGCCGGGCGTCATGTGACCTCCAGGTTCTGGACTCCGCCATTGTGGAGAAGATCGAGGAAGCCGTGGAAAAGACCAAGGTGAGCGTCTCGTCCTGTGATTTGCTCCTTCCGATCGCAAAGCATCGTCTTCGTCCTCGCCGCATCCGTCTCACGGTAACTTCTCCTCCCTCAGGTGAAGAAGAGCACCAAGAAAGTCCGCGTGACGGTCAAGCCTCATCTCCTGTTTCGGGTCAGCGACGCCTCTTGCTGGTTTGTTGTGTCACTGGTTGCTATGTGGTGAATAAAATGCGATGCTGCTTGTGCATAGCCCCTGGAGCAGCAGCAGGGCGTGGTCCCAGACCCCGACGCCGAGTACCGGCTGTTTGACAGAGTCGTCAACATCAGGGAGAGCTTCACCGTCCCACTGGGACACAGAGGGACGATCATTGGCATTAAAGGAGGTAGAAACACTCAACTCTGCGTGTAATCTAGTAATAAAGATGTTACTTCAAGAACATCAATCATTGTGTCTTCAGCGGACCGCGAGGCTGAGGTTCTCTACGAGGTTCTGTTTGACGAGGAATTTGCTGGAGGTCTTAACATCAGGTGAGTTGGTGTGCTTTTAGGTTTGGGGGGATTTTTTGTTTCAAAAGATGTTGGTAAAACTAAGAAAAAAAACCAGTTGGTTCAGATCTTTAACATTTTTCTGAGCAGAGATGAAAGGCAGGAGAAAACCAGCTGTAAGAGATCACAAATTCATGAAGTCTATGAATAATGAGTAAATTAAGTCCAACTGCACGAGTATCAGAGTCACACTAAGAAAAAATTGTACAAAATTAAATTAGAAGAAAAAGTTTAAATATTACAAGAATTAAAAAAAAAAAAGTTGTAATATGACTTTATTCTCATAGTTTCTTTTTATTTTCTTAGTGTGGCCCTCATACTCAGGGCCTAGTTTAGTGTAATTTTCCTGTGAAATTAGTGAGGAAACATCATGAAGACCAAGAACTGAATCGCCGTGTTCAGGATTAAAGACGTGGAGGCATTTAAACCAGAACGCGAAGCTCTGAGCGTCTCAATAAGCACCGTTTAAACTCGCAGCCAGACGTGTTTGCAGTTTCCCAGCAGGCGCTGCTCTGGTCAGATGAGAGCAAAAACTCGTCCCGTCTCTCTGCTCAGGTGCACCTCCCCCCGCGGTTACCGCCTCCCTCCCTGCGCCCTCATCAACCTGTCCCACGGCACCCGGCTGGACCACGGCTCCCACAAACTCACCGCCATCGTCAAACCGCAACCAGCCACCAGCGCCAACTTCAACATGCAGCGCCTGGCGGGCCTCAACCACTCGCCTCGCTCGCCCTTTGTACCCACCCAGGTGAGAGAGGGAACGACTGCAGACGTTATGCGAGATGAAGTAATTCTCGACTTTTTTATTTTTATTTTTTTAACTGCTTCACCTCCTCATCTGCAGCACAACAAGAACGCCGTGGCGCCTCAGGGTAACAAAACCCCATCTAAAGGTCCCAACCAGAAACAACAAGTGAAGGTAAGTACCACATGTTGCTTCATGTACGTCAGCTCGATTAAAACAGTGTAAAGACTTGTGTTTGTGTCTCCATCCAGTCTAAGGAGGAGTACAGCAACGTGTGGCAGTCGCTCCAGAAGACCGGTCCTCCCAGCCAGCCTCCAGCTCACTGGCACAATAATGTTGGTGTCTTTGTTTTTTTTTGTTTGTTTGTTTGTTTTTTTGTTGGAAAAGATGATCAGGTTGTTAGTCTTGTGGTTAATTTTAACTTTTCTGATTTTTAGGAAGCAGCTTTACAACAGGGAAAGAATCAGCGTTCCAGTAAAGCTGTGAGTAAACACAGATGCTTCACAATGAGGCAAAACTTCCTTAAGAAGTTTGTTCGAATTTTGCTTCAAAGTAATTTAATAAATTATAAGCAAAATGATCTGCTTGAACGTAAGGAATTTTAATGAAATATACATACAGCGGAAAATGAAAAATTATCTTTGTAATGAAAAGAATTTAGAGTAGCAATGTCTTTTTGAATAGATTTCATGAGCTACTTTCAGGTTAATTCCAGAACTTTGGAATAATGTAGAAAAAACACATTTTAATTGACTGAAAGGTAACAGCAACACATCATGCCCCAATATAGTATTCAAAAACAGAGAAATGAAGTCATTATAGGTCTGTTGAGTGTTTCCAAAACGGCTCCTAAGGCTTTGGGGCTCGAGTGAACCGCAGTGGGAACCATCCACCCAATCAGAGCTGTTTTCATAACTACCCGTTAACACACTTAAAATATTAATAAATAGCTAATTCGATGAGTGGTGTGCTTAAATTAAATAATATTGAACATCTTTTTGCAATAATTTAATTCGCCAGAATACAGATAAAACTGCTTTGATTTGATGGATAAAATTATATTTAAGCACACAACTGTTCTATTTAGGAGCTTCAGTACCACATACAACGTTACGGGGGGCTGGATTTGGGCCCCCGGACCTGCAGTTTGACTCACACGCTCTATAAGAAGGAAACGCGCTCTGTTTGTTTTTGCAGATTCCAGCCAGTGGCATCAGACTATTAAAGAAAAATGAAGACGTCAACTCATTTTTCCCTCCAAAGAACACAGCTAATAAGGTTCAAGCAAACACAAACTTCTGCTGACATCTTTATGTTACCATTATGTTAAAAAAAAAAAAAAAAAAAAAAAAAAAAAAAAAAAAAAACACTCCTTGTGCTTGGCTCTGACAGGGCACCACTGAGTTTGAGGTTCTCATTGCAAACCTAAAGATCTCCCAGGGCAACCAGCAAACCCCACCGCCTCCTGCCCCTCCAGAGGAACCCAGCAACCAGTCAGACGGCCCGTTGTCCCCCCAGTCCTTCGCCATGGTATGTACAGAAGGTTATGATAAAAATAGTCATACACTGTAAAAAACACAAAATCATACCTAGTAATTTAAGTCTAGTTTCCAGTGCAAATATCTTGTTATACTTCAAGTAAGACAAACTAACTTAAAAGTAACTTTTCAGCAAGGTATAGAGGCTTGTTTTAATTAAATAATTCCTTAATAGTGAAGAAAAAGCACATGTTCTATTGGCAGACAAATTAACTTGGAATGTGGGAAAAATGTTCTGCTAGCACTTTTTCATCAATATTAAGGAATTAGTTACTTAAAACAAGCTTCTGTATCTTGCTAAAAAGTTGCTTGTAATTTAGTTTTGTCTTATTTCAAGATATTTGCATGAGAAACTAGACAAAAAATAGATGTTAAGATTTTGTTTTTACAGTGCACTAAAAAGCTTGAGGCTGAGTGAGTTTTTTTTTTTTTTTTTTTTTTTGGGGGGGTTTTTTGAAAAGGACCCCTGGTTTTGGAGGGGGTGGTGGAGAGTG